AAAATCTTTAAAAAAAAAAAAGAAAGAAAAATATGCCATTTCTTTCTGGGTGCCCTGATTTCTGATGAGAAATTTGATGGAGGCTTTCAGAATTTTTTCTTCGGTCTTCAGTTTTTAGAAGTTTGGCTGTAATGTGTCTTGGCATGGATTTTTTTGGTTTATCCTGTTTGGGGTTTGTTCAGTGTTGAATCTGTAGGCTTATTTCTTTTTTAGTCAAGTTTGGCAGATTTTTAGCCATTATTTCTTTGAATACTTTTCCAGTCCTACCTCCTTTCTCCCCTCCTTCTGGGACTTGGAATGCATGAATGTTAGTGCTTTTATTATATATCCTACGTGTCCCTAAGGCCCAGTTCATTTGCTTTTTAGTCTGTTTTCTTTGTTGTTCAGATTGGGTAGTTTCTATTGTTATATCTTCGAGATCAGTGATTCTTTCCTCTGTCCTTTTCTGCTGTTGAATTCATCCACTGAGATTTTTATTACAGGTATTGTGTTTTTTAGTTCCAAAATTTCCATGCAGTTTTGTCTCTGTGTTCTATCTTTGCTTTCAGTTTGTGTTTCTTTGCTGAGACTTTCTTGTATTTTCCATTGTTTCAAGTGTGTTTGTAATTGCTCATTGAGGCATTGTAAGATGGCTCCTAAAGTCTTGTTTAATAATTCCGTTATCTGTGTCTTCTTGGTGTTGGCATCTGTTGATTGTTTTTTCTCATTTCATTTGAGATGTTTCTGGTTCTCGCTATGGTGAGAGATTATTTTTATTGAAAGCTGGACATTTTAAATATTATATTCTGAGATTCTGGATCTTGTTTAAATTTGATGTTTTAGCAGGTTACTTCTGATACCACTCCAGCAAGGAAAGGGGGATGCCCCTTGTTAATGCCATTTTGAAGTTGAAGTTCAGGGTTTCCTCTTGGCCTTTGTTGACACTCTGTTGGGGAGAACTCCATGTTACTGCTCATTGAGGGTGGGAGGTTCAGCTTCCGCACTAGGTCTCAGCAGATGGTATATCCTGGCCAGGAGGGACAGGAATGCCTTGTTACTGCTGGTGGTGGTTGAAGTCCTGACTTTCCATTAGGCCTCCTCTGATGAAACCGCAGCGTTGGAAGCAGAGGAATGGATTGATTCTGCTGGGTGGGATAGAAGTCCAGCTTCCCCAGGAGGCGTCTGTGCTGTGCGGGAGGGGTGGTTTGACTGGAGTCAAGCAGGTATTGTTTAGAAGTTTTTTTTTTAATCTTTTCAGACTGCCCCTTTTATCTTCTTTGGCTGGAGATAGCAGGCTGTTCTGGAGATACCTTTTTTGTTTTGAGCTCATTGTGTTGCCAGCTTGCCCAGCACCTAGTATGAGCCGTATGAGACAAAAAGAAGGCCCAGAAAACTCACTGCTGTGTTGTTCCTGGGGTCCTGCAGTCCCCAGCTAGTCTGCCTGCTCTTCACCTTTCAGCCTCTCCATTTCTTTCATACAGAAGGTCCAGAGGTTCTGGCTGTGCTTAGTGAGAGCAACAGGAAAAATATGTTAACTATCCTTGCAGAAGCAAAAGCCCAAGTTTAATTAATTTTGTAGATAATATATTCATATGCCATGGAAGTTAAATGGTATAACAAGATACGCAGTGAAAATTTCGTCTCCCACTTACTTCCCCTCTTAGATGACAGCTGTCATTGCTGGTTTCTTGTGTGTCCTTCCTGAGATACTCTGCACATACCAGCAGTTTTCACGCACATGGTGGCATTTTGCCACATTCACTGCTCTGCGCCTTGTGTTTTTTCTAACACTATATCTTAGTGATCCTTTTAGAGTCATATATGAAGACCTTTTTCATTCTTTTTTATGGCTTCATGATATTCCATTGTGTGGAGATGCCTCCTCTGTGTAACCAGTTGGAATGTGTCAGTGTTGACTCTATTATCAGTTCTATTTATTGTCCTTTTCTTCTCCCTGTCTTCTCTGCTTATCTCTGAGTCAGGGTCTGTTCTGTATGTTGTGGAGGGCCGGAGATCGCTGCTGGGGCCACGGGGATCCTTACTCTGTGATGAGTCACATAATCTGTGAATACTCGTGGATAGTCTTTTTTTTTTTTTTAAAGATTTTATTTATTTATTTGCGAGAGAGAGAATGAGAGACAGAGAGCACGAGAGGGAGGAGGGTCAGAGGGAGAAGCAGACTCCCCGCCGAGCAGGGAGCCCGATGCGGGACTCGATCCCGGGACTTCAGGATCATGACCTGAGCCGAAGGCAGTCGCTCAACCAGCTGAGCCACCCAGGCGCCCATGGATAGTCTTTGATAGCGACTCTCTTAGACACATTTCTCTGTCATGTTCACAAGGACTGTTTGGACCACATCTTGCTTTTCAGAGGCATAAACAAAAGATCGTGAACATAAGCTCTATATACCTTTACTCTGTTTCATGGATTCAGTTGCTTCATGTATAATAATAGTTAATAATAGTTAAAAGAAGTATACTTTATGGTTTTAAAAAATGTTTTTCTTATTTCTAATGGCCACTAAAACATAGATCTACTGATTTGGGGCCAGAGTACTTTGATTACCTTTTTCGGGAGGGATAAGATTTACTTTGTTCTCATTTAGGTTTTTGAGTGTGGTAGAGTGTCACCTCACTAAGTCTGGCATTTTTCCTCAAGGTGATGATTTTTCTTTTGGGTAATATATTGCCCCCAAATTTCTGGTAAACTTGAATGATGTCATGAATTGCAGAATCTTTTTGCCCTTGTCTCTTCACAATTTTTTATTTTGACTTGGCAGTTTAATTCTAAATTCATGCATAATTAAGTTTGATCTTGCCCAGAGGATAGAATCTGTCCCTTGTACTGGTACACCATGTGAGGACCGGGAGATCTGCCGCGAGCCATCTTGCCGGGGGCCCTTCGCAGTACAGAACGTGCGCATCGGGTGATGCAGTGTGTCTGTCCGTGTGTGGCGTGGTCAGTTTTCAAAGGTGGTTTTATTTGTTTCTACAGATCGCCTCAGCCAGTTAGGGCCCACCAGACTTCTCTGCCCTGTCACCAGCCTCAGGGCTCTGGACATGCTCACTGCCTCCGACTTGGACACTCTCGCTAGGCTCTGTCCCCAGCATTTCCACACCACACCTGCTTCTTCAGTCCAGCAGAAATCCTGTCCCTTAGATTTGTGCCACCTTTTATAACTCAAAAGCTTTGAGTCTAAATGTGGCAGTGAGTTGGAGTGAGGAAAGGAGGTGGGCAGAGTGGTTTCTGTCCTGGAACTTTCCCTTTTCACCTCTTCCACCTGTTACTGCAAGAGACGCCTTTCTGAGAGGAAGGATTCAGTCACTTGTGAAGCTTTGTTACGATTCTTCATTTGTAGTAAATTGGGGATTTCACATAATCTACTTTAAAAACAATTGTATATGTTTACTAATTTGTTTTGGAATAAATTTGATGAAGATGAATTAATGGGAGCTCAGAGGGTGATCAAGGCTTAGAAATTTAAGTGGGAAATTGAATCTTTGTGAAGCTTCCACATTTCATTAGATGTTAAATTCTGGAGTGAAGTCCTATTTGATTATTTACTACTAAGTATACTCCCAAATACCAAGGTTAACCTCTTAAGGAAATAATGTATCATAAAGCCATTGATACTTTTAGATAATACAGCTATTTGATTATTGTACTTACCTTTTCATGATGGATATTAGCCAGCAATCTCTTTATTTTTCCTTTTAATGAAGTCAGTTATTTTCCTATGATAAGATTAAAAATAAATATTTTAAATCTGATGCAGAGTTTTAGTGAAATGACTTAAGAGTGTATAGGTATTATTTTTCAGTTTACTCTTTTGTATCATATTTTTAACTTTGTCTACTTCTGTATTGTATTTTAAAATTTGGAACCTATTGATATATACTGTACTCCATGGGCATTTCATTTACTATCTCGAGGGATTTTTCCAGATGAAATTGAGAGATTTAGTGATGTCACTTCTGTCCGATTAGCAGCAGATCAGCGAAGTTCCTTTGTGCCATTCTGAAAAGAACGCTGTGACAGAAAACTTGTTTCTGTATTTTATGTACTCATTGATAGTGCGTTTTCTGTGAACACCTCCACCCCCGATAAAACCCTAACACTGAAAATGTACTTGTACAAAGATGGGGATTATAGTGTCCTTTCTTGATCATTCAAATAAATGTGAATAGTGATGGAAATCTTTGTTTTTGTTTTTGTTTTTTTTTAAGGTATTGCCATCAGAGAGTCGGCAAAGGTAGTTGATCAAGCCCAAAGGAGGGTGTTGAGGGGAGTCGATGACCTGGACTTTTTCATAGGGGATGAGGCCATAGATAAGCCCACGTATGCCACGAAGGTGAGCTCCTGAGGAATTTGCTTCTTTAAGTGTGTAGCCAAGAACGGAGCAGTAGAATGCATAACGCAAAATGGCAGATTATCTGGAAATTGTACTTACGTGTTAGGGGTCTATTTTTATTCTTATGTTTAAAAAGAAGGTTTGCTGTTTTTGAGTGGGGTATTTCTGATGCGGGGAGTGAAATGAATTTACAAAACTCTGGAAGGCACACCTGACATGGCAGCTGTGGGTTACATGCAAGAGCATGATCTGCTTCTGTGCAGTTGCAGGTTGACTGATTAACCCGTCAGGTACGGGAAGTTACAGATGGATTAATGAAAAAAAGGACTAAAATTAAGTAGACATTTGTTCTAGGAAAAAAAAACCCTCCAGATTGAATGGTATCATGGATTGTCTGCACTTTTCCATCTGTTACCCATTGTTAGGATGGTTCTCCGTACTTCGAAGTGGGTGCAGTAGAATATAAACAGTAGTGTAGCTTAATCTCTCTGCTAAAGTGCCTGTTGTTTCTTTCCGTGAATTCGCGTCAGTCCCCGTGCAGAAGGCCGGACTCTCCACTAACCCAGTCTGTCCTGGGCCGGCGTTGTGGGGCTCTTAGTCTTACTGCTGTGAACTGAAGCTTGACGTATTTTGGTTTCTCTTGCCATAGTGGCCAATAAGACATGGAATAATCGAAGACTGGGATCTTATGGAAAGGTTCATGGAACAAGTGATTTTTAAGTATCTTCGAGCTGAACCTGAGGATCATTACTTTTTAATGGTGAGTAACTGGAACTAAGGGGATTATATCCTTCAGAATTCCAAATTACGTAGATTTTTTTTTTTTTCCAGATTACTTAGATTTATACTCAAGATATTCTTCTCTGGAGAGTTTTTAATTCTTGTTAAATTTGTTTGTATGAATTGGGGTGCTTTTTTTTGGCAAATAACAGAAAATTCAACAGAAATGTCCAAAATCAAAAGGGGCTCGTTATCTCTCAGAAGAGGAAGGCCAGAGCTGGGCGGTTCCAGGGCTGGTTACCCTCGGGCTCTAGCGTGGCCTCTTGTGTTGATTCCCTGCAGGTCCCGGGGTGGCCGCCCAAGCCCCTGTACCACCTTTCGGTTTATACACTTTCAGAGGTAGAAGCGTTTTGTAAGAATGAAGTTCCCAGCAGATGTGTCCATCTGTTCCTGCCTGGCCTGGTCGCTAGCAAGGGGAATGGAATAACAGTAGACTAATCACATTTCTTCCCTGGGGCTGGGTGGGGGACTGTCTCTGATCACCTGGCCCCAGGACGGTAAGTACCTAAACAGGCCTCCCTGTGTAAGGAAGATGGAGGGAGGAATGCATCTGGGTAGGAAACCATCTGTGTACTTTGATGTCCTCCTGAAGTAACTTGATGACCATGATTTTTGCTTTATAGCAGAGGAAACCGAGTCAAAAGATTATTTTGCCAGGGTTTAAATCTTTTTTTTTTTTTTTTTTAGTTTATTGTTTATTTTTAAGTAATCTCTACACCCAACATGGGGCTTGAACTCATGACCCCCGAGATCAAGTCTCATGCTCTTCCAACTGAGCCAGCCAGGCACCCCAGGGTTTAAATCTTATTATAAAATAAAATTGAGCTGAGTTATGGGCCCTGATTATGGTACTTAATTGATCTTGTTCAGGTAAAATAAAACATTACAAAGATATGAGGAGAAATGTCTCTTGGTTATGGAATCTGTTCTAGTTGTTCTACTCAACATTATGTGTTTCCTTCCATGAAATGTTCTTTTTAAGTTAAAATTAATTACATGTTCACAACACTTGCTTTATAGAGAGCAATTGCATGTAACATAAGCTGCATATTAAAACGTACATAATTTAGCTTTGGATTTTTTCCACACAAGTATATTGTCAAATGGTCCCAGATCCAATTATATAATTCTTTCTAATGTTAAATATGGAGTGTTCTTTAGAATTATCTGACTTAAAATATGTTAACTATAAGACTATTATGGTAGTGGAATCTATATATTTAATGTCTATTAAAGCAAGTCCTTGAAAGTGCTCTGATCTTTCTGGCTGTGTCTTCACAACTGGGAATTGCCAAGGATGGGTCCTGTGTTTTACAGGCCACTGTATATTTTCTACGCTGTGTATCTACCGTGGTTTAGGTAAGATACAGAGCCAGGAAACTGACAGTGTGTCTTTATAGCCAAAACAAATCACAGGCTCCCACCTGTCACACTTGGCTTTTTTCCTCCTTTAGCACATCACATAACTACCTGTTGGATAGGATTTTAGGAGCAGGCACCATGCCCAGCTGCTTCCTTCTGTCTTCTCCAGCTTGCTGGGCCCGGCGTTCTCCCCTTCTCTCCACACACAGGGGGCCACCAGGACATGGCCACACAGGAAGTTTTTCCTGATGAAAGAAATTTTTATCTGATTTAGCTGGCACATATAGGCCAGTAAGGCAAAACCACTTGCCAGGAAGAAATCAGAGGTGTTTGAATATGGAAAAGCTGAAGTCCATTGGCCAGAAAGGAGTATCTGTAATGAATGTTCAGATGAAAGAATTTAATGAAAGAATTAAAACACATTGTGCTTTGAATCCTGCAAGTCCATTCATTGCAGGAGGTGCTCGAGGAAGTGGTGAGAATGGTAAATTTCTTTCAGGTTTATACCCTTAATCATCAGTTAATGGAACAGTTAAAGGGGAATAAAACAAGTATAGAGATTTATGGCCAAGTCAGAGAAGTTAATTGAAGACATTTACTGAACTGCTACATCAGATAAGAGCTTCTTGGTGTTAGAGTCTCAGAGGTCTAAATTATAGGTCCCTCGGTAGCTCACAAAATTGTTCTTTCTGACTTTGTGAGCAGACATCTGAACATACCAGGGTGAGGATGAGCTCATTACAGCTCATATCTTTCAAGAAGTTTCAGAGACTCCAGTCATATTGGTCATGTGGATTGAGCAGATAGCAAATGGGAATTGTACTCCTTTCAGTACTGAGTTGCCCAGTGTTCAAAATAGAATCATGTATTTTAAAGAATTGCAGTGCTCTTGAGTAGAAATTGAGTTATAACTTCAGAAGAGATTTGCAAATTTTTTGAATATGAATCAAGCAAGAACGAGCAAGCAGCGCATGCTGCTCAAGAAGGCCCGAGAATGAGGAGCTCCAGTGTCCAAGACCAGGGAGGATGGACATCCCAGCCCAAGGTGGGGTGGGGGGAGAGAGAGAGAGAGAGAGAGAGAATCTCCCATCCTCTGCCTTTTTGTTCTATTCTGGTCCCACGCACATTGGTGAGAACAGATCTCTTTACTCAGTCTACTGAATGCTAATCTCCTCCAGAAACAGCCTCACAACACACCCAGAAATAATGTTTAACCAGTTCTCTGGGCATCCCTTAGACAGGTCAAGTTGGCACATAAAATTAACTGTCGCACGTGGTATGTCCTGACTTGTGAATGATGTAGACCCGCTCTGTGCAATGCTGTAGCCACCAGCCTGGGCAGAGCTGGACATCCTCGGGCTCACTAAGTCAGTTCCCACCGGCCCCGTGCTTCCCCGATTCCAGTATACTGTCCTCTCCTCTCCCACTCTCCTTCCTTGAGGATTTATATTTTTTTACTTTTTTTTTTTTAAAAGATTTTATTTATTTATTTGACAGAGAGAGAGATAGCGAGAGCAGGAACACAAGCAGGGGGAGTGGGAGAGGGAGAAGCAGGCTTCCTGCCAAGCAGGGAGCCCGATGTGGGACTCGATCCCAGGACCCTGGGATCATGACCTGAGCCGAAGGCAGAAGCTTAACGACTGAGCCACCCAGGTGCCCCGAGGATTTATATTTTTAAAAAGGTTTCTTTATTGCTGTTATAGAGGCATATGGGAGTGGAGCAATATTAGGTACATGTGTTCATTTTGCTATCGTTATCCAGAAATATGGATTGATTTTTATGGTCCTGATTAATTATTCATTTCTGAATTAATACCAGATGATACTTTACCATTGTTATGAACAAAAATGTTTATGTTGCTTGCATTCCTATGATATTTTAATCATATGCTTTAGTATTTAAAAAAATAAAAACTCAATACTTACACTTTAGGTCTTGTTATACATAATGGTTTGGGAAAGTTTTATTTAAATTGATCTGTGTTTGGGCACCTGGGTGGCTCAGTCGTTAAGCGTCTGCCTTCGGCTCAGGTCATGATCCCAGGGTCCTGGGATCGAGTCCCACATCGGGCTCCCTGCTCGGCGGGAAGCCTGCTTCTCCCTCTCCCACTCCCCCTGCTTGTGTTCCTGCTCTTGCTGTCTCTCTCTCTGTCAAATAAATAAATAAAATCTTTAAAAAAAAAAATAAATAAATTGATCTGTGTTCACTTTGGGAGCACACACACCAATGTGGGAATGATACAGAGAAGATTAGCATGGCTCCTGCACAAGGATGACATGCAAATTTGTGGAGTGTTCCACATTTAAAAATACATAAATAAATAAATTGGATCTCCTAAAGGAACAGCTACCGGCAGGAAGTGTAGAAGAAATGGAGGATTGAGGAAGAAATGGATTTATGATTATGTTTCTCAGAACCTTTGAGGATATTGCCCTTAACTGAATTCGATTCAGGAACCAGGAGAACCTAATTATAATATAAACGTTCCCTTAAGTGGAAATACATAGCTTTTAGTGTAAATTCTTCACAGATGGTGAATTGTTTGGCAGTAAGTAATAAAAGTGTAAAAAACAGTCATTTAAACAAGTTAGGGGTTTTATTTTTCTTTGATAGCAGTAGTAGGGAGGCCAGTGCTGGTACGGCAGTTCTCTGGTGTCATTAGAGATCTCTGGGCTCTAGTATCTTTAGCATATGGCTCCCACGATAAGGAAGCCTCATGATCACAAGTTGGATACTGCAGCTCCAGTCATCACATCTGCATTCCAGGAGAGAAGAAGGGGTTAAGGGCAAGGGGAGTCTACGACTCAAGTCCTAACCTTATAAGGTGCTTTCCTAGAAGCCATACTCTTACCAGCTTTTGCTTCTTATTGGCCTGAACTTACTCACTTGGTCTTCCCTGTCCACAAGGAAGTGTGAGAAATGCGTCTCCTCTGGGATCGCTGCCACCTCCTGTGAGTGATCGGTGCTCTGTCAGTATGGCAGAGGGGAGAATGGATACTGCATATGATGTGACTGCCTATGAGGACAGTGGCAAAACAAGAACTGAGCTGTTTACAAAACCCTGGCTGGATCCTACCTGTGTGGAGAGGGCCATCCACTCCGGGGAGCCAGCAGGCCAGGGGAGGGCCCTGTCAGGGTGTGCTGCTTCTGCTCCTGCGCGGGGGCTCTCTGGCTCCTGTTGTCTCCCTCTGTGGATTCATAAGACAGGAGGTTGTCTTAGGAGTTCCTGTGGCCTTTCCCCAGCAGGCCGCGACCCAGGGCTTCACCCCTCCCATTACGGAACTGTGATTATGACAGAACGTGTGGAGGCCATCTCTGGGACTTCGCACTGTCCTGTCACAGGAATGGAATGACAACGTCTGGTATCTTCACATGTGTTTTGATGATGCAGTCAGTACGGTGTCCCTGGCGCCCCCCTGCCTTTCTCACGCAGTTTCCATCACTCCTGCTTAATGGCCCTGCACTCATCTTCCAGTGGATGCTTCCTGTCTGTTCAGTTCTGCTCCTTTTAGATGTTTACTATGTTTCCAATTTCTTGATTTTGTTAGAAACAATACGGTCTTTGCACATACAGTTTCTTTCTACATTTAGAGCATTTTTTCTATAAAAAGAACTACCAGTGTTCTGGGGTCCAGAAGTATTAATACCGTATGAGTCTTTAGCTTACTGCCTCGGGTTCTGTATGCAATGTACAGAGGCCACTCTGTACTCCTGTTAGCGATGGTTGATACCATTTCTGATTATTTGATGGAGTGAAAGTTCACCTTGTTTTTAATTTGCATTTTTTGAGAACTTTGTAAACATTTTTCACATCTGTACTAGTTGTATTACGTCCTGTGAATTGCCGGTTCATGTCCTCAGCTCTCGTGCATTTCAGTGTTTTATTGCTTCTCTTCCTGCTATGATTTCTATGAACTTTTTTCTTAGAAATTTTTTTGTGATAAAATGTACACACTATAAAATTTACCATCTTAACTATCTTTAAGTGAACAATTAAGGGGCATGAAGTACATTCACACCGTTGTGCAACCATCAGCACCCTCATGTCCAGAACTCTTCCTCTTCCCAGACTGAAACTGTCCCCATGAAACACGCATCCCCGTCCCCTCCCCCAGCCCCTGGCGCCCACCCCTCTACTTTCTGGGTCTGTGAATCTGACCACTCCAGGGCCCTCCTGAACGGGCATCACACAGGATTTGTCCTTCTGTGACTGACATATTTCTTTGCATGATGCTCAGGTTCATCCATGTCGTAGGAGGTGTCAGGACGTCCTTTTTAGGGCTGAGTAAGATCCCGGTGTATGCATGTCCTGCGTTTTGTTTATTCTGTGAGCTCTTGCAGATGATAGGAAGCTTTTGTCAGCACCAGATTATGTTTTTCTCAGTTGATTTTTTTCCTTGCTTTTGTAGGCTTATGTTTTTTGAACATCTATAACTTTATTTTTTTTTTTTTT